AACTGCACACAGTACTCGAGGTGGGGCCGCACCAGTGCAGTGCAGAGTGGGACAATCACCTCCCTCGACCGGCTAGCTATGCTGTGCTTGGTGCACCCCAGGACACAGTTGGCCCTTTTGGCTGCCAGGGCACACTGTTGACTCATATTCAACTTGCCATCAGCCCAAACCCCCAGATTTCTTTCCACGGCATTGCTCTTCAGCCTCTCGTCCCCCAGTTTGTATGTATAACCATACTTACCTCACAGCGGCTGAACGTACCTCCTGAGGTCCCTTCCAACCTGAATTCCTGTATGATCCTGTGATCCTACATTTCACAAGTCCAGAGCTATTGCTACAACCACTAGGCATTTCACCATCTTGGTCACCCTCCTCTGAACACACTATAATAATTTGATGTCCTTCTTATATTGAGGCGCCCAAAACTGCACACTGTTTTTGAGGTACCATAATATATCTGATGCTAAAGCATTGTGTGCTTGCTTTTTAAAATTTGCCCCTTATAATGAATGTAGTCCTCTTCTCTAACCTTAGGTTAGAGCTGTGCGTGCTGCTGGAGAATGAGCACATCTTTGAACCAGAGAGAAATGATAAGTCTTTCTCCTCCTCTCATCCTTTCTCCTATGAGAAGGTAACCTGTTTTCTTTCAGTTCTTTCCCTGTTTAATCAGCATGTATATTGGGTGATTTAGGATGAGCTCTCCATGAACGAAGAGGTGATGTAATATATGTGGTTGAGATAAAGAAGTGGTCAGGTACAATTTAAATTAAAGGATGACCAGAGACCTTCCAGGGACAGCTGCCATAAACTATAATGCCGCTCAGAGTCTGGAAGTTGTGCAAGACTGCTGGCAGAGAATTTCCTTGCTCAGATAGGCTGTTCCAATCTTCTCTCTCTCAACTTCTCTGTGGATAGCAGAATTATTATAATATTTAATTCTGTATGGGATAGCACCTCTCTGAATGATGAGTGTTTGTAAAAGCTTTCAAACTTGAAAAGCATGTAGCATTCTTCCCTTTGATAGATGACTAAAGGATTTTTAGGAAAAGTAAACATTAAGCGTGGTAGAAGAAAATCGTGTGTTACCAAGGCAAGACCGGTAATGCAGTTTTGAGCAATTTATAGAAGCACAATGGGAAAGTCATCATATATTATTGAAGCTTGGTCTGCACATGGGAATCCGGCTGGCAAAACAATGTTGAGAAGGAGCAGGGCAATTATGTATGGGATGAGGTGCCAGGATACAAATAGGTACTCCTATGGAAGAGGGCTGAAGCTCAGCTGATGGCTGATACCAGTTTTGTTGCATTTTTCTGCACTGTGCTATCATGTAATTACCACTTAGTGTGTGAATTTTCACAGCATGAAAAACCTCACCCCTAAGCCAATATAACTCACATTGTCTTAACAGAGATACAGTTACACTAAGGGAAAAAAAATATTTTTGTAAGTAAAGAGTGTTTTATTTTAAATTGCTAATTTAAGCCTTATTGGCAAAAGAATTTATAAAGTTTGGACAAGCTCTGCCAGTGTAGCTCTGCTAGAAAACTTTTTCTTAAGAGTCAAACTGGAAAGCTTTTTAACCTTGGATTCTAACATGCAGCGCAGAAGGAAAGAGAAATGGATTTTTGCCTATTCCAGATAACAGTGGAGAAGCTGCACAATCTGTCGCGCCTAACCATGCTGCTGAATCGCTACGCTACAGATCCCCGGTATCAGCAACTCTTCATCAATCTGGTAAGACTGAAGCCAACTCTAAAAACAAACATTTCCTCCATGAACAATGTGTTTGTTATATTTTCTCATTTGTTTATGATGGCTGTGTCAGCCGCACTGATTTACATAAACATTGCCAATCCTGGGATGTTACATTCTCAACAAAAGTAGCTGAGTACAAACAGCATTCCGAAGTTTTAATTCATATTGTATAAACATAACAGATGTTGATAAAATGAGCCAAAAAGAAAATACAACAAAGGGACCATTTCAAGGGGGCTTTTGATTAAAATGCATTCCAGATTGACAAAATGATACAATGTTAATGGAATAGATCATTTAAATGTCATTATTTGGCTCCTATAGTCCTATAAAGCAAATATAAAGCAACGCTTTTGAGATTTTAGGCTCCATTACGGTACAGTGCCTATACATCAACTTATAAATAAAGCTATATTTCTTTCCCCTTTCCTTTTTTTTTTTTAATCCCTGCTATGACATTGCCACATTTATTTCCTAAATACTGTACTGAAATACTGGGTCCAAAAGCAATAATGTGTTTGGTATACTGAATAAGGCCTAAAATAAATATGTTATAAACAAAATAAATGTAGTTTCTGCCTCGGTGAATTCCAGTCTACAGCATTGAAACTGAGGTGGGGGGACACTGGGAAATCCAGGCCAGAGAGCCTAATTCAGATGGGTTTTATTTAAAACGATATAAAATCTGCTTCTATTTACTCATGTGTAAAGAAGATGGGACTGAGTTTAAGATCCATCTAGTCTGAATTCCTTGCTTTGAGAATAGCTAGAAGGAGAGAAAAGTTATAAACCCCACAATGCTCCTAATATCCATTATCTAATTTGGTTTAAGACTTTCCTTGTAATAGCTGGAGAAACTGAGGTGGAGAGAGGCCACACGGCCTTCCAAAGTTCAAGAGGAGGTCATACATGGGAGTAGAAGCCAGCTCAGCTGAGACCCAGTCCAGTGTTTGCACCACTGGGCCACGCAACCTTTTTGTTATGGGAAACCTATTGCACTCAATTAGGTTTCACATTGATACCTAACTTTTAGTACCTGGTGTGATCCCTGAAGCATAAAGTTTAGTATCCCTTCTAACAACTTGTTATTATCACTCATGAAAGCTCTCTTTCTGATATCCACAGAAATATCCATTGTGAAGTTCTTGGGCATAATGATTTCCTGTGGCAGTGAGTTCCACAGCAAAATTATATGTGGTATAGAAAGAGGAAACCTTTTTACCTTTAATTTTTTTCCTCCTTATGTCTTCGAATGTCTCATCAGTCCTGTAAATGAAAGAGTGAGAAGAGACGTGTCCCTCTATACTGTGCATTTATTTATATTATTTTATCAGGTCTTTGTTTCATTTTTCCTCTGTCTGGGGAAGCATACATTTCGGAAGCATAATACACCTTCTTTGACAGAACTGGCCAAGCTGTAAGAAGGATACTGTAGAATTATGTGAAAGGTAAAAACTTAGTGATCACCTATATAAGCTATAAACACCAGCTTGGTTAACTATAAAATAGTCTTTAGCTCTGTTCCTATCAAGAAACAGTTATAGCCCTCATAATTTTCAGTGACCAGAGTTCAGTACTTGCAGGCCCTCTTCTTCTCAGAGCCATATGATTGTTTTCTTTGTCCTCTTCCTCGCAGTCTATGTTTCTATGTGAATTGACTTTTATAAGCATTTACTGCAAAATATTACAGGATGTCATAAATGGTTGTGTAATGAGATAGCAGCTATAAAAAATCTTAAGACTTAATAAATATTGGGGTCACCGACTATTTCCAAGTAAAAACTCAGACCATATCAATGGAGCTCAACTTTGCTTTTCTAGCCTGTGAGATTTGGGTACATTCCAGTCATAATAGTTTATTTAGAGTGAACCTGATGGTTTACCAAAAAAGAAAGTATTTTTTTACTATGGTATTTCCTGATGTTTTAGGTATAATTGGGGATGGGGAACAGGGAGAGAAGAACTAATGTTCTTATTGGCTCCTGTCCTTCAAGCCTGTTACCTCTCTCTCCCCGGCCTCCTTCCTCTGCCTCTCCTTCCCACCGCTGTGGCAGGGGTGCACTCATGCTTTTGTGTTCTCCCTATGTCTTCTCTCTTTGCCTTACAGGAGCCATACATAAACAAATCTGCAATGTCAGTCCAAGCTCATTTCTCGCTGCAACGCACCTACATCGTCTTTCGCACCCTGGGGCTGCGCCACCTCACTGTTGTTGACCCACAGAACCGAGTGGTTGGGGTGATCACCAGGAAGGACCTGATGCCTTTCCCACTGGAGGAGAGGCTCAGGCTCCAGCTGGCGCCACAGAGCCCTGATGCCGGTGAGCAGCCCCTGGATTCAAGGCCATGGATGCGTTCTTAGGCTTTGTCACTTCTTTTTGAGCCCGTGTTCTTCTTCGGGAAAAAGTAATCAGAGCTTTCCCACTTGATCCCTTCTGGAGAAGAGATGCTTAAAAGCTGTTGTATCTAGACATGTGGGATTGTAGCCCAGAGCTATGTCTCTTCAGCTGTTTGGTGATTGCAAAGTTCATTAATTTAAATGCTTGTGAGACAAAATAAGAATTCACGTGTTTATGGAAGATGTACATAAAATCAGATGTGAAGGATGGATGTCAAGAATGCTTTTGTCACACTGTGTCTATGCCTCCCAATGAAAAAATGTCATAATCATTAGCACCAGTTATGTTGGCAAAGTGTTTCAGTGAGGACTAAATCTTCAACCTCTGAGTATCTGCCTGTTAAAAAGGAGAATGTTTCCATATCAGTGTTTTTATGCTGAAATATGTATGCTTAACTGAGAGGAAATACTGCCTTGAGAGAGGTGGGCAACTGAAAGGAACAAGAAATTGGCCTTTCTTATTGGCCTACGTGCATTAAAAATTGAAAGGGAGAACTGTATGTAAGAGAAAGATAGTGACTGTGGGGCTCCTGCCAAACTCCCATCACACTTCTCAGTGAGAGAAACTTGACATACTTTTCTGTTGCCTACGTTTCTTTCAATTTCTGCAACTCCTAGAATAGGCTCTCTTTCTCTCCTTCCACCTGATAAAATAACATTTTTAGTTAAGTTCATGTGCAGTGAGGTATGGGGCAAATGCTAATAATGGGGAAGCAACACGATAAATTGTGGGAGTGTTTTTTGTGTATATAGCAGCATATTTACCAACTGAGCACAAATTAAATAATTCTTCATGATTTTGCAGTCATACAATGTTTGAAACCTTGGAAAGTGTTGTTTGTTAATAAATTAATATGAACAATTTTTTGGATAAAGACACTTTTAGATTTCCTTCTATGGCTTTGTAATTGATGTTTAATTTTGTTCTGTTAAATACCAGAGGGATTCCCACAGATTTGGGTATGTTGTGGTTTAACCTCAGTCGGTAACTGAGTACCACACAGCCGCTTGCTCACTCCTCCCCCCTCCCCCCGGTGGGATGGGGGAGAGAATTGGCAGAGCAGAAGTGAGAAAAACTCATGGGTTGAGATAAAAACAGTTTAATAATTGA